TTCAGCAAAATATAAACGTGTTGGAGATGGTTTGCCGCTCTCATTAATCTTTCAGAAGATCAAGGAAGTGCGGAGGTGAGACTAGATAGCAAAAATTATCAAAAGTATTTTCCGGAAGCCGCTATTTAGAAGTTCTCTAGTATAATTGGATATTTTAGTCTTTCAAAACATCGTAGGATACCTGAGAACTTATTAACACTCACATTGCAATTCCATATACTCTATGCAGTGTTGCGAAAATGATTCCGTTCGATGTCCCACAAATGGTAAGGTGAAGTCTGAGATTCATGTTAGACTATATGCACACGAAAAGATACAATCAATCACTTACTCATGGCGATTCCACTATGAGCAAACTGCACTATGAGAAAATCGCGATACATTTTGTTGTTCGGAAGATTACACATATCCCCAGAAGCAGTATTTTGAAGAACTGCAGTGACAGTTTTTGCATCGAAGCTCATCATAAAAAGATAATCCCTCCAGCCGGGCTTTCCCTGATAAATGGCTTGAGGAAACACTAAATTTCTTCTTTTTCATCACTGATATTAGTGAGAAAAACAACAAAAAGATTATTGAACCGAAGTCCAAAGGTTGCTGGAAGATCTGCTCTGCTTCTGTAATATTGATGTCGTCTGTCACCGAAAATACGGGAAAGGTAATAAACTGCTCGAATTCAGTAACATTCAACTCATGAACGAGTGCGAGTTTTTGCTCATTTTCCTTAACCTCAAAGCATTAACAGCAATAAAGTGAATAGAAGTAAAGCCATCCTACTAACACATGTGATTGAGTTCAAGGCAGCAGTGACATTTAGTGGCATGTAATCGGTTAGAAGCACCACTTGTTTTTTCTGCATCACTGTTGCTGGCTGCTGATTATCGCTAGCGATCTAAAACAACTGAAACTAGCCAGTTAAGCAAGAATCCCGATCTTGTTGGGAAGTCTTACGTACCATATCGGAAAAACTTTTGATCACCGCGCTTAGCGGCGCTGCCGGGTCGTCGAACTGTATGAAATCCGTACTGTTCGTCTTCGCGCTTTCCCAAAAAGCCTCTATCTGTTCCCGATCGTCCATCCACAATTGTATCTCTTCCGCGAAAGAGTCAGTTTCGATTGTAATAGAATTTGTCCCAAAGCTCAATCTGTACTTTATCATCTCGTGCTTTGGCATAAGCTGAAAACATCAGTATGATACGAGAGGACATAATTACAGCTGGGCTGGAAAAAAAAGAGGTATAACCTCTTAAAAACCGGTTTTTTTGTTCTTTTAGCTTTATTATTTTGTAAAATAGAAATATTGCCGTGGGAGGTTGCAATCCAATGTGACGCTTCCCCCTCTTTTCAATATAGACACACTACTTAAGATTAAGCAAAGATTTTTATACTTATCAAATTATTCTGAAATTTCAGTGGAATAATAAAATTCTTCATTTGGGATTTTAACAAAGGCGACACTAAAGTATATTATTTGGCACAACAAGCTATTCCAGTAGTT